GGTCCGAGATCCAGGAAGCCATTGCAGAAGATGATTTCGCCGCCCAACCTAGAAAGGGCAAAAAGAGCAAACAAGACAAGAAAGCGAGGAAACAATCATTTGCTCCTGAGCCCGTCGAGGACATTGCAAGTAAGCAGGTGGAGACTATTAGCCCAACGCCGCTCCTGGATGCTGCACCGTACTATCCACTGGTCGTTGACACAGCGGCAGTCAACACCCCGTCTCTACCTGAGCCAACACCAATGGAAGCAGACTCGCCTTTCGCTGCAGATAGCACCGCTCAGATTCCTCCCCGGGATACAGTTAAAGATGAGAAGCTCCGGGCGGCTCATGTGTCTCTGCCGGAACCGACGCCGATTGAAGAGCAGTCTGTTGAGCCTGCTAGGAAGATGTCTGAGGTCGTTCAACGAGCGCTCGACGACACTGCAGTACCTCCACCGCAGACCATTATGTCTAGTGACGATAGTCCAGCCGAAGCGGAGGGCCCGGTGAGAGATGTGCAGGAAGAGGTGTCGGCGCCTTTAGATCGGAAGGCGTCGAAAAAGAGTAAGAAGAGCAAGAAGAGTAAGGATTTGGCACCGGTCGAGACGCGCGAACCCGTTGAGGATGTCGTGATGAAAGAGCTGTCTGCGCCTGCGGCGTCTACCCATCTAATACACAGTTTGGAGTCCAAGAGCGGGAATGTAGCGATTGCGCCAGACCCTACACCTGTCGAGACTGTGGAGCCTAGCCAATCTATCGCCGATCACATGGACTATCAATCGACGGCCGCGCCGGAATCGACGGACATTATCGCTACACGGGATGAAGCTGAACCAAACCCTGCGCCAATCGAAGTCTCCGAAGCAGGCCTCAGTCGATCGGCGCTGAAGAATGACAAGAAGAAAAATAAAGGCAAGAGAGACCTTGGTCGTGTCGAAGACATTGAAGAGAACATAGCCGAAATTTCGGCCCTTGTTGATGAAGTTGTCCCCACATCCGTGCCAGAGCAACTTATCGCGGCACCTGAGGCGACTGCCACGTGTACCTTCAACACTGAGGCCCAGCGAACTGCATCTCCTACGCATATCAAAACTCAAGAGGATGTTCGAGAAGTTACCCTTTCGCCCTCCCTTCAAGGCGCACGAGACGAAACTGCTGACATGAGGCAACGATCCCAGGCGCTCGTACGAGCAGTGGCGGCGGACGAGCGACACGATAGATTTGTGACGTCTCAGCCTACATCAATGCTTGATGTCGTCAACCTACTCAGCAATGATAAGAAGGTCCTTGAGGATGTTCCTCAACAAAGCGATCTCACCGAGCCCGTGACTCCTGCAGCTGAACCTGAAGCTACGGTCGAGACAAAGGAACAGGTCGAGAGCGCTATCGAGGATAACGTTATGCCCCTCGAGACTCCATCTCGCAAATTGAGTAAGAAGGAAAAGAGAAAGACGAAGCAAGCTATCGTTGCGGCGGACGAACGGACTGAGCCTGCCACTGAGGGTGTCGTTATACTTGATACACTAACGGATGCATATGAGGACCGATCAGTTGCCAACAATGCAACTTCCGTAACGCCGATTACCGAGGACATTGTCCATGCGGTCGAGACAAAGGAAGAGGTCGCTCAAGACCCTGTACTTACTCCCGCGGCGAAACCCATCCCAGCGGTGACGAGCGCTCCGGAGGTCGAAACATCCGCTGCACCTGAGCCTGCTATTGGAGATTCACCTGAGGTGTCCAGGAAGTTCAGCAAGAAAGACAAGAAGAAGCAAGCTAAGATTGCTGCGGCTGCGAAGGAGTACTCAACAGCACGCTTTGACGTGCTGCCTGCGGTACCCGAGCGGTCGCTCGCAGAGTCTGATTCTACTGCGATCGTTGAAGAGCAGGACCGTGTGGAGGTTGCTGAGCCAAGCGTCAACGTTGCATCTGTGGATGTCTCTCAACCTACATCCTCAGACAGCACTGTTGAACCCACTCCTTCTGTTGACGACCGTGCCATTAGCGTCGTAGAGGCTCTGGGCTCGATTTCTACCGCAGACGAGACAATCACTGCACCACCCTTGACGCGCAAAGAAAGCAAGAAAGATAGGAAAAACAGCAGGAAGTCCAAGACCTCTACAGATGTACTCGCAGAGACTAAGCAGCCAACACCGGTGACAGGGCACTTGACGGAGGAGCCATCGAGCCTCCCTAGTCAACAACAGCGTGAAGATGATGATGCTCCTTCCGTGACGGTCGCTGAGGACCTTCAACGTGCTGCTCGCCAACTCGGGGTCTTGCAAGCACCCAACGAGACAGACTCGGCCCCGTCCAAGACAGTCCAAGAAGCAGAACAGTCAACGACGGAGAGCAGCGAAGTGGGCACTGTCCACCCAGCTACCCCTACAAAGACCTTCGACACTATCTCTGAAGACGTTCTGCCTACTTTGAACAAAAAGGGGTCCAAAAAGCACAGACTGGCTGCTTTGTTCGAGAAACAGTCGCCAGAGCAATTGCGTGAAGCCGAGCGCAAGCTAGGCCACAAGAGAAGCGGCAGTGTGAAGAATCTCGCAGAACGTTTCGAGAACCAGTCAAGATCCGTAACACCACTTCAGATTGTACCTCCCAAGTCCATTTCACGAGCAGCATCGGAGGACCAACTGCGATCAGTATCTCCATTCGATAACCTTGAGCGCCTGCGGTCCGCGTCGCCGCGCCACGATGTCGACTTTGCAGCAGCTGTCGCTGCGGGACTGAACGAGTCCGGCTTCGATCCAAGCTACGTCATCAACGACCCATCGTTCTACCGTTCTCGATCCACATCCCGACAGGAAGACCACGACATCGCTCCAGACGATGAGGTTGCGACTGCCAGGAGGAGAGCTAGTGTGTCGAAGTTCGGCTCCATGGGCCGCGCATCTGCGTCGACCTCGCCTACGAAGCTAAGCTTTGTGTCAAGCTCACCTACCAAGGAGACTGCGTTCGACCGCACCCTGCCTAAGGGCATTGAGGTTCCATTGGCGGCGACTGATGCTCCATCATTCGACCCAATGGATGTGCTCAATGATCCAGCGTTTACCAGACGCAAGTCACCACCAGGTGTGCTGGAAGACGCTGACCCCGAAGAACTCTACGCTCCGCCGAAGAGCAAGAAGCTGAAGGGTAAGAAGAAGCGTACGAGTGATATCGCAAAACAAGATAGTGTTGAGCAGTCAGCTGCTAAGACTCCGGTGCTTGAGAACCCGTTCACAGGATCTCGCACTGTTGAGACTGCGGCTGACTCCACTACCCGTGAGCTCAGCTTTGAGGCGCCTATCAACGAGCCGGCCCGAGTTTTGAATGTATTGGAGCAGTCGCCGAAGAAGAGACAGGCGACAGAAAAGGAAACGACTCGCGATGTGGAGGAGCAGGAGGAGCGAGGAAGGACCACGGTGCGGGACAGTGCGCGAATCTCGCCACCAGAACCCGCACGAGAACGTAAGATGTCTACCGAGAGAGACGTCAGTGAGTACCCGTTCTCTCGAGTCACAGCGCCTGAGGTAGCAGAGTTGGCTACTCGCAACTTGAAGGAAGAGAAAAAGGCTAGGGACGCCAAGAAGAGTGAAAAGAGCAAGGAGACTGAGATGAAGAGTCCGCAAGAGCAACACAAACGTCGAGCGCACCCAGTGTCGTTCCACGAGGATCAACCAGAAGAGAAGCGGCTGCACAAGAGCGAGGCACCAAGCACGACTGCGCCTGAGCCAGAGCCATCATGGGCCTTCCCGCGCCTTGACATTGCTACAACCATCGCAGGGATTGCTGTGGCCGAGCCATCAACAACCCAGGTCCAGCATACGACCCGCGCAGAACGTCAGCATCCGCAGGGACCGAGAACACCAAAGAAGAAATCTGTACAAAGTGTGACGGAGGATGAAGAGATGGAGGCTAGCCCAGCTCTTCCAGAGTTCTCAGCTTCAAAGGGCATGCAATCGCCACCGCCGTCCGAGTTCGTCACCAAGGAACGAGCGTCGTATTTATTCGACTCATCGCCGTCGACTCGCGCATATGCTACTTCGCCTGCGATTGCGCCTAAGACACCAACGTTCGAGAGCCCACAATCGATCAAGAGCCCAACTCGCCAAGAGCAGACCTCGCCCACCCGAGCCGCACGTCAGGGAGAGTCTTATCAGTCCGTATCTGGCGAACCAAGTGAGAAGAAAGATGTGTCGACAACTCCGGCTCCGAAGCGTGCACGCACTCCTGGAACCAACTCGCTTGGTACGATTGTAGAGAACAGCCCAGATGACTCTCCTATGCCCAAGAAGGGGAGATCTGTCTCTGGTTTTGATTCCGCAGAACGAAGTGGGAAGTCTCTACGTCGCACTGAGCACAACAGATCGTTCTCCGATCGTATGTTATCATCACCACCACCAACTACCCCGACGCCAGCGGACCGCAGAAGCACGTCCGGTACAAATGAAACCGCTAGCCTGGGCTCACCATGGCATCAAGCCAACGATCCCATCGATCGAAGTGTGGCCCTCAGTCCCGCGCGCCGACTGCCTCATGCGACGCCCGAGCCTATCAAGCAGCAATTAGCTGAGATTCGGGACTCGCCAGGCCTTCGCAGCCAGCAGTCCTTGAGCAACATCAGCAAGATCAGATCGCCAGAGTCTGAACGACCCATGAGCTCCATGAGCATGGCAAGCAATGCGTCAACCCACTCTTTGCGACGGATAGAAAAGACCCAATCAGGAGATCTGAGGGCTGCAGCCAAGCTTGGCGAGGCCAATGCGCAGGACGCTAGCAGCGCAACGGAACCCAACCTCCCAGGCGTCGCACTCGCGGCTGGAGCGACCGCAGCCTTTGCAGCCGCTGCAAAGCTCAGGGGTGAAGGCAAAGGACGTCGCGCCAGCATGGCCGAAACTTTCGTAAGTAGCAATTGTCTACGTGTTGTTGGCGCCGTATGTACTGACAATGCTCAGGAGGCCATGGGTGAGGCCCCAAGATCGCCAATGTCTCCGACGCGACCCCCCAGTCTGCGGAAACGTCAAAGCATGCAGATCATGGACTTGCAAACACAACTTGATCAGCTCGCGGATCACAATCAATCTCTTGAGGAAGCAAGGCTTAGGGCCGAAGAAACCTTGCAGGCTCAACAACACCAGCGCCAGGTCGACGAGCAACTTGTCCAGGAAGCAGTCGAAGCACGTGATCGCCAGATTCACCAGCGAGACATCGACATCGCGCAACTCAAGGATACGCTACAGCGGCTGCAGGAAGAAATTGCGAGACTAACAGAGCTCAACAACACCCTCACAGAGGCGAACCGTCATCTCACGAACGATGCCAATGAGCGCTACGCACAACTCCAATCTGAAGGTCAGCTGGTTCATCAACAATGGCAGACATCTCAAAGAGAACTCGACACTTTGCGATCGCAACATCGCCAACTTACCCAAGGAATGGAAGGTGCCCTTCGCGAAGAGATTGGTGCTGCACTGGACGAACGCAATGCAGAGATCAGCCGCTTGGAGAGGGAGCTATCGAGCGCAAGAGAGCAAATCAAGAGCCTGCAAAAGCAGATCCTTGCGTCGAAGAAGCCCAGCGAGAGCTTCCTCACCATTCGAGACGAGGACTACTTCGACAGCGCTTGCCAGCAACTTTGCCAACATGTCCAGCAGTGGGTGCTGCGGTTCTCCAAGTTTTCAGACACCCGCGCTTGTCGCCTGTCGTCTGACATCCAGGCCGATGCTCGAATGGATGCCGCGACGCGCGAGAAGATCGACAAACGTCTGGATAATGCCATCCTCGATGGCTCGGATGTCGATTCACTTCTCGCAGACCGCGTCAAGCGACGAGATGTGTTCATGTCGATCGTCATGTCGATGATCTGGGAGTATGTCTTCACACGCTACCTCTTCGGCATGGACAGAGAACAACGACAGAAGTTGAAGTCGCTAGAGAAGACATTATCAGAAGTTGGTAAGTCCAATGTCGCTCTATACCTTTAATTCGTACTAATTTCCCAGGCCCACCCCGCGCTGTCGCCCAATGGCGCGCAATAACCCTGACCCTCCTCTCCAAGCGCGAGCCCTTCATGCAACAGCGTGCGCAAGACACCGAAGCCGTGGTCCACGAAATCTACTCCACCCTCTCCACGCTTTTGGCACCGCCCTCCCACCTACAGCAACAAATCCAAGCCAGTCTTAGAAACGTCATGCGCCTCGCCGTCGAACTCAGCATCGAGATGCGCACCCAGCGAGCCGAGTACATCATGCTGCCCCCGCTCCAACCCGAGTACGACGTCCACGGCGACCTGGTCGCGAAAGTAACGTTCAACGCATCCCTCATGAACGAGCGCTCAGGCGAGACTACCTCCAATGACGAACTGGAAGCGAGAGGTGCCATTGTCAAGGTTGTGCTCTTCCCGCTTGTGGTCAAGAAGGGCGACGATTTTGGAGAGGGGGAGGATGAGATTGTGGTTTGTCCCGCCCAGGTCTTGATTGCGAAATCTGGGCGCAAGAAGGTGGTCAGGGTCATGAGTGGCGCGATGAGTCTGGGAAGTCGCGCGAGTAGTAAGGGGCGCAGTGCGGTTAGCTTGGCGCCTGAGAGTAGTGTTATGGATCTGGATGAGCCGAACATGATTTGAGGAGTTGAAATGACTGGGGCATTCTTGGGGTTTGGATATTGGTATTGGAGTTTCGGTCAGCATATCTGGATTGGCGTTGGAGTTGAAGATGTCTATCTCTTTTGTCAACGTTCTTCGCAGGTTTGTGTACACGGCGATTGTATGTTTACAGAGATACCAATGCATTTCACATGTTCACACTACTTTCTAGAATTTGGCGACGACTCGCTACATACATAAGGAGACACAAGGTCCACTGCCGGTGTGGAAATCAAGTGGAGTGCTTGAGTACATACCTATCGAATTGCTGTGATGATCAACATACACCCCTACTCTCCATCAACCAACACGGTGCTGTCTTCTACCTTCTTCTCTTCAACTTCACTCGGCTGCACAACCTGCCTCCCGTTCCAACCCTTCATCATGTTATCCATCCTCTTCCTCGCGCCGTACTGCATCCACAACGGGAAACTTCTCAATTTCGGTGCAATACCCCAGGCCATCTCCGGCAACACCATATGTCTACTCCGCCCACCCAACACGGCCTTGACAATCTCCTCAGCCACTGTCTCGGCAAACAGCGCCTTGCTATCGAATCCCTCAAACAGCTTCGTCCGAGTGTAGTTCTGGCACATCAGTACGGTGCGCACCTTCGGCGCCTTGTAGTGCGTGACCAGCTCCGCGGACAGGCCCTCGTGGAACGCAATGGCGGCGGATTTGCTCGCTGCGTAGTCGACCATCGAGGGCGCGGTCACATAGCCGGCTAGAGAGGCGACGGTCACGATCATCCCGTGGTTGCTCTGTACCATGGAGGGCAGGAATTGCTGCGCCAGGTAGAAGTGCGCGAACGTGTTGACTCTGAAGGTCAGGTTGATGTCCTTCTCGGTCGTGTCGAGGATTGTCTTGCCGCGCGCGACGCCGGCGTTGTTGATGACAATTGTCGGGTTACCGAGCGTGGAGCGGATGGATGACGCGGCGTCTGCGATGGACGAGGGCGAGGAGAGGTCGCACTTGAAGAAGTGGACCAAGGGGGGCGCTGGGACGTGTTGGCTGGAGTAGACGGTGAAGAACAGCAAGACTTACCTTCATATGTGAGGTCCTGCACGTCCAGCACTGCGACCTTGATGCCCTTCTCTGCGAGCAGGTGCACGACTATCTTGCCAATGCCATCGCTTCCGCCGGTCACGACGACAACTTCCTGGCTCCAGACGTACGTGTCGCTCGTCCAGTTGTTCGTGACGGCGTTGTCGAGCCACGCGCTGACTTTGTCGAGCAATCCTAGCACGAGGAGCGTCTTCAAGTGCTTGAACGCGGTCGCATGGCCCGCAGCAACGCGACCGCCATCAATTGTGTATTTTCCTGCCAGGAATAATGGCAGAGTAAATAACGGATTCAGCACCGTGAGCTTAAGAAGCCGTCCGATGGTATCGCCGGTGACGCCTGCATCGTCAATTAGCCGTCATCGGGGAGCGTCGCGTGCGCATCGCGTACCTTCACGCGCGAGGCTCCATTCGCTTCGGATGGGCATGATAGTTTTGTTCTAGCGCAACTTTGATGCTTGCTTTTTCCGCGATGGCTTCAAGTGAATCAGAATTATAGGCAGGACGGATGCAGCGCGAAAACAATGGGCTTGCGGGCCTTTAAAGATGCTCAATTGCTCGGTGCCTAAGAATGCTTTGCTGCCAATCCATCCATGCGGGGTCCCCTTTTCTGGATGGTTAACTGCGATCGGGCCGAGGCGCTAGAATCGCCTGTATCGAATCGGGGAAGAAGTGCGACTATTTCTTTCATGTGCTCGGGACATCTTACTCTGCCTCTCGCACGACTGTTCGATCAAGTTGCGGGGCATGTGAATCATTGAATTCGCGAGTTTTGGAACGATCTGCCTTTCGCGAGTGTGCCCATGAGAGGTTCTTCCGCGCAGTGGCGGTTATATGCATTCCACACGCTGACGGATGCTCGGGACGCAATGTCCAAAAGTCGACCATCCTACACAGACCAGACATAACCACCTTAATCAGGCAAGAGATCTGCAGGGGATGTATACTGCTCACGCCGGATACTCCGCCTCACCACAGACCGACTTGGACGTGTCACATCCCTCATCGAGACACGACACAACTATCTATCCATCACGCTCTTCTCTTGCGATCAGCTCATCTTTAGCCAAATTCTCGTCGTCAAAATCAAGGTTCTTACCTTGCGTGAATTTGATCTCGCTATCACGGTTCTGGCCTCATCATCCTGGACCTCAAGTGCACAGCAGGCGTCACGACGTGTCTCCTAGAAACTCCTTCTTACGTCCCATTGAAACGCCTCTCCTAGCTTAGCGGAAGGGTGCAATTTTGAAACCGGTCCGCTTCATCTCAAGGCCACCATATTCATCGAGGTCAGGATAACAGTCTACAAGATGCAAATCGACGTCGAGCTCGTGCTGCGGCTTGTAGAAGACAGCAGTCGTGGACAGCGTCACGTTGCGTTCGCAATTCATGCATCTTGCAGAAAGACATCAGCAGCTTTCGACGCGCTTATGGGAAGCTCTGATCGTGAATTTTCTTCGTATGTATCCTTCAATGCCCGAGCCTAAGCACTGGGCAAAGCTGTGGTATGTACCTACCATGTTCGGCCGAAATCTTAGCTGCGCAAACCTTTCGGTCGAAATGCCCCCCAGCAAACGCCAGCATACCAACTCATCGACGGGCTGATGCTCAATGTCTACTCGGGACATGCCTCGTCATTTCTTGAAGAAGAGAATAGAAGTAATTGTAAGACTGATCTGGATTAGAAATGAAGCTCGAATGATAAAAGACAAGGCTATGGAAGTCCTGCAATGAGGCCAGACGCAGTACATGCTTGCGCAAGAGACGAGAGGGCGAAAGCGAGACGTAGATAAACTGATTTGGACGATTTTGAGGAAAGAAAGAAGAGGAACTGAAGATACTGTTGAAAGCGCTAAGGAGATGCATTCAAATCGCGTTACAGAGTACGAATCTGGATGATACTAGTCTCGGAAGTGCCGACAGTGTCAATTGGAGTGCACTCAGTAATTTCGGTGCCATTACTTTACGTTCGTGTACATTGTGAACATGCCTTATCAGAATTGCTTGCTTCACCCTTAAAGGCCATTCACGAGCAATCTAGATCGGTATTGCCATGGATGTACGAACGCGCCCACTTATTCCTCACCCTCTTTACAGGATTCTATAAGCGGCCACTTCGAGTTATATCTCTGACTGTAAGCGGCTGCCAGCGTCTTCATTGGAGTGTGCCTACCTGCAGCCACTGATGATGCTGCTTCTCTCCTTGGCATTCCTGCCCCAACATGCGATCTTTTCGCCACTCACCTTTTTAGTAGCTCAGACGCCTCTCGCAACTACACGCGTGCACGCGAAAGCATGAGTCTTACGAGATTAAGCGCTCGCCCTGGCAGCATTTCAGTTCAGAAAAGGCTGGCACACAGACTGTTTTTGCGGGTGCTTGCGCCTTTACGTCCACTTTCTTCCACATCAACTCAACCCTTCCAGCCTGGTCTGCCGATGGACTGGTCCACACATAGTTGTGACATTGACGCCGAACCTTTGCAAAACAGACTTTGCTTGGTTTGTGCTTCCTTCATAAGCAGAAGATTGCGCATGCAGGTTTAGTGCAGCGTCGTAACGTTCATACCGACTTTGCTCACTATTCTCAGATCTGCATACCCGCAACCTAGCCTTCACAGTTCCTTCGGTAAATGCCTTGAGGGAGGAGGATCTCCTTCACAAACTAGGGAAACCCGAAACAGGACTTGTTCAAAGAACCGATCGCCAACCACTAGAACCTGGTATACCCCAATACCTTGTCAAACCCACTTCCTATCCGATAGATGTTAAGTCTTCGTTCGAATCAATCAAGATCGTCGGTTTCGGCCAATCTTTCTTGAATCACGACAGCCCTAGCGCCCTTCATACTCCACTTCCTTTTCGTGCTCCTGAGATTATCTTCAGAGATAATTTGGATTATCGCATTGATCTCTGGAGAACAGGCTGCCTGGTAAGTTCGGCTTTTGGGATACAGTGACCTTACAAGTATTGATAGGAGGCTGACGATCTTGACTAGTTGTTTGAGCTCCTTATCGGACAACCGCTATTCGATAACTTCATGACAACGCCTGCAATTCTTGTCCGTCAAATGGTCGAGACGAGTAGCGATACTTTGCCGGACCGCTGGCAAAAGGAATGGCATGCTATGAATGAAACATTGTCCAGCGAGGATTCCACTTGTTACCTTCAAAGTTGGTTAGAGGAAATGCACTTTGATGGAGAGAGGTGCGAGGACATGAGCCGGGAAGATATTGTACGGGTTGGCGTGCTGATCGGAAGTATGCTACGGTCGGAGCCTTCCGCCAGGGAATTGCCGAAGGCCGTTCTTCAGGACGCTTGGTTCCAGAAAGACTGACGCAAACGACACGATGACTCTGGTTTTTGCCTCCACAATGCAGAAATGGTGTAGTCACTATAGATTCACATTGCCTCTGCACTGACGGCATTCGAGGAAGTTTTGCAATGGGTGCGCCTGCAAGTGACACTCCCCTAGCTGCCATTTCAGTATAGCTGGCCGCGCCACCTGACTGTATGCCCGTGCTTTTGATCTCCCTCGTCGTCTCCAAATTGGCTTTCCTTACCTCTACCTCCTCTTAGACGGCTGCCCCGGCTTCCTCCCTTGTGTTGGTATTCTGCTAAACACTTGCTCCGAGCGTGCGAACGGTACGGTGTGGTGGAGCTCGGTCTTGACGGCATTGAGGATCTGTGACGTGTTTTTGGACGTTGCCTTGAATTTGGCATGCAGGATGCTGAGCGCGTGGCATACCGTGCTGAGGTTAGGGACGTTTTACATTCTCTGTATGAACGGGGGTTTTGGACCTCGGCCTCCGGGGCACGGTGATATTGCTGTGCGGTACGCGGTATGTTCGTTGAGCTTATCCGTTGCAATTGGGTAGCTTCTAGGATCTAGCAAGGTGCGTCGTTGAATACCTCACCAAGGCTGCTGCATTATGTGTTAGTACAGGAGTGATTTCCACAATAAGATTCTCGGTGATCTTCCACCAGCCGGACCTTTTCATCTCTTGTGAAAGTACATTGGGCTAGCGTCGACGAGAGACATTTGCTGATAATAGTGTTCACAAACGTTAGAATGCGCATACTGAGGGAAAGATGAACGCGAGTCATTGTGGCGGGCCCTCTGAAGTGCTTTCTGGTGCTTTGTGTTGCCGTGGTTACGTCACAAACACCTTCGCACTTTCCCATCAGGCTTCTGCCTGCTTCAACAGTCGCCGCCTTATCCTCGTTCCGCTCCCACAACTTTATTTTTGGCATATAGGCCCCTCATATTGCCACGTTTCTTGCACCTCGCTATCACCGGAAAAAACAGACATGGCGGACGCACGTGGAGAATACTGGTACTTTGAGCCAGGCGTCGACTCAACCAAGATAACGGTACCAGAGCTGCGCAGTATCTTGCTGAAGCACGGCGTTGGGTATCCGTCATCTGCGAAGAAGCCGCAGCTCGTAGCACTCTTCAACGAGTCGGTCGCTCCCCAGGCGGCGCAAGTACAGAGGACACATGCGCGCACCAAGAGGAGCACGCACGGTATCGTAGACATGCCGTCAAGCTCGAACAGCACCGTCGACGACGCCGAAGAAGATACACTGGTCGCGCCGACGCCTGCGAGACGGACTGCACGCCGAACGACTCGCGCTGCGACCGAAGACGCCGAGGACATTGCGCCCTTGTCACGCGCAAAGACACCTTCGCGCGCCGTACCTGCAAAGCACAGCAGAGCGCTTGAGCCGGGGATCGATGAGCGTCCGGCAGCTCGGCGCACACGAAAGAGCATCACGCCCGCCGTCAAGGAGCCAACGCCAGACCCAGAGACATGGCATCGCTCAGGCCCAGAAAGTCCCTTTACACAAGACAACCCCTTCCAGAGTGGTAGCTCGCCAGCAATCCCCGATACGACATCACGCGACAAGAGCAGGAGGACACTTGGTTCAGAGCTGAAGACCAGGCGCAAGAGTGATGCGCACCGCCGACGAACAGCTGAGCCTAGCACCGAACAGTACGACGAAGGCATCGTAGTGCCCTCTCGTCAGACGTTCGACGTAGCTGCCCCACACACAAGAGAGGAGGAGGAGCACGAGAGCACAGATGCAGGCGAAGAGTTCACTCCAGAAGAGCAGTTGGAGCTGGTACGCGAGCGTGCAAAGAGTGGCCAGGTCGACATCCTCCCTCTTCGCAGACATAAGAAGTCTTCGAAGGCAACAGGTACCCTGAAGGCGTTCTCCGCGACACTCCTGCTCACCACTGCCGCCGTGTTCGGTGGTGTATGGAGGCAAGAGAAGATCGAGGTGGGCTTCTGTGGCATTGGACGGGAGGCTACGAGCCTTGCAGGCGTCGAGGTGCCGGAATGGGCGAGTGAGTACTTTCCTCTCCCTCAGTGCGAGCCGTGCCCCCCTCACGCACAATGCTACAGGGGACTGGAGCTTACATGTGATCGCGACTTTATCCGCAAAGATCACCCACTGTCACTGGGTGGCCTGATTCCCGTGCCACCGACGTGTGAACCGGACAGCGCGAAGACACGCAAAGTTACGGCCGTCGCAAACAAGGCCGTAGAGATTCTGCGAGAAAAGAGGGCTCAGTACGAATGCGGCGAGCCGGATGTAGACGGCAAGCCTGTTGAGACTCCTGAGGTCGCGGAAGAGGAGCTTAAGCAGACGCTGGCCGCTCGCACACAGAAGGGTATGACAGACAAGGAGTTCAGTGAGCTTTTCGAGCGAGCCTTCCCGGAGGCTGTTCTCCGAGACGAGGTCGTCGAGTCCACAGATGCGTAAGTAATACCCTCGCTAGCCCTACCAGTCATGCAATCTTTTCTGACGTAGAACCGTACTAATCAGTGAGCTTCCCGTGGATACAGAACTACCGGGAAGCGCAAGCTCTCATCAACCTCTCTCGCAAAGCTCTCCCTCAGCTGCAGCGTCAAAAGATCCGTCATACAATCCTTTGAACGACATCTTCTCCAGATTGTAATTTTTGCGCTGCTCGTCGCCTCAGGATCTTACGGAAGGTATTCGTACACAAATAGCCGAGCCATGGAAGCCCGCGCAAAGCAGCTCGCTAGCGACGTCTTCGACAGACTTGCCAATCACGCGGCCTTGAGCCAACAACAGCCTGGTGCCTACCCCGAGCGCGGCGTCAGCATGGCACAGCTGCGAGATGATGTGCTCCGTAACGAGTTCTCATCCAAGCGTCGACAGAAGCTGTGGGAGAGGGTGCAGAAGAAAGTCGAGTTCAACTCGAACGTGCGCGCAGCAGTCAGGACAGCGAACAGCGGCGATGTTGCGCGCATGTGGGAGTGGATTGGGCCGATGCACCTGCTCGAGGATGGTCGAAGCCCTGCCATGCGTGAGAGTGGCCGCTTCAGCATCGAAAATACACCATCGACTGCATCAAAGCAACTAATGTCAGAAAAGAGGACATGGGACGCGGGACACCCCGTGTATTAGAGGCAGGGACTTAGTGTGGCGTGACATAGAGTGGCTATTTGCTATTGGCGTTGTGGAGGTTAACTTTGCTTCGCACGATACCACCTGATAATGACATCTTTTATTGATCTCCAACCTTGGTGTTCTAGAATTCAGGACTGTGATGTTGATGCTCAACTGGTGATCGTACCTCGTAGAACATGACGATGCATGGCCCGTGCGAAGTGCACGGACAGGACGACTTCGCTAAGCGAGTAGCGCCCACTGAGATTCGGGTCTTGCGAGGAAGGAGCAAACATCACCACACCCGTCACCCCGTCGCCCTCACTAACCGACAGACAAAAATCAGTCAAGATGGTGAGTGCAGACATGCCCAATCTGTCCACCTAGGAAGATGCAATTGCAACACGAGTGAACAACAATGCCGCGAACGACATTTCGATGACGAATACGACCGGAGCGAGCGCACACATTTTGAGGCACACCACCGTTGGCTGCAGAGCGCAATTGAAGGCATAAAGGGTTCAGAAGGACGGGAAAGGCTGTCATACATGTGGTCGAAAGCTGCCCTGGACAAGAGCTGCTGGTCGAACCTACAGCCTTGGGATGGCAACTACTGCGTCCGTGGACATGGCCATTCTCACGATCACATTGCGCATCACGGGATTCTATACGATCCTCTTCGAAACCTCGCGAACTGTTTAGCCACTTTGGAACCCAAGATCTTGGCCTGGCGCCACCGCGCCGACTTTCCACCATCGAACACACGCCGCTACATGCACCACATCGCCTCGTTCACTCCTGTTGCAGACCTCAACTTTCTAGACGGACTGTGTCAAGGACACGTGCTTTGGCGATGGACATGCGCTGACGAGGATTGTTCAGGTCAACGTTCCCAAGACACGCCGCACCTACTGCAAGGGCAAGGACTGCAAGAAGCACACCCAGCACAAGGTCACCCGTTAGTAGCCCGCAACCAGGCCCAGACATGCACATACTGAACCTGCGCAGAGTACAAGGCCGGCAAGGCTTCTCTGTTCGCCCAGGGAAAGCGTCGTTACGACCGCAAGCAGTCCGGTTACGGAGGTCAGACCAAGCCCGTCTTCCACAAGAGGGCTAAGACCACCAAGAAGGTCGTCCTCCGTCTGGAGTGCACAGCTTGCAAGACCAAGGCACAGGTACGGATATCTCGAACACTTTCAACGGACACGGCTGACGAACATGACAGCTCGCCCTCAAGCGATGCAAGCACTTCGAACTCGGTGGTGACAAGAAGACCAAGGGTGCCGCCCTTGTCTTCTAAGCGTGTCTCTTTCTCTCTCTTTTGCTGGGCCCTCGGCGTAGTCTTCAGGCGGACGGGATGGACGGCTTTCCCAATCGACTCATACTATGCATCAATGCAACGAAATGAAAGTGGAGTGATAACGGAGCATCTGGGGATGAACAGGTTGCGACCCACGAATTCAACGGATTGTAACCAACATTTGCATCAAATCGAGCTTGATTGAAAGGATCCTTGTTCACTTGCGTGAGTTGCAATATCTGTGATACTATGTGCTTCATGAAGCGCTGCACTGTGCCGGGGATCTTTCCGCCGGCGGGAGCCACTTTCGCTGCCCCTCCACCCCACCAAACGCGTCTAACGCGCGCCCCGTCGATCTCCACAAGTATACTTACACCTGAGTAAGGCGCTCTTCTGCTGTTCAACTTACTGTACGATGACTGACACCCAGAAGAAGACCGTTCTGGTGATTGGCGCGGGCTCTGTGGGTGCAATTGCCGCGCTGAACCTCGAAGTCGGCGGTCTCGCCTCAGTCACTGTTGCTCTCAGGTCGAATTACCACGTCGTCAAAGAGCAGGGATACACGATCGAAAGCTGTGATCATGGATCGCTAAAGGGGTTCAGGCCGAGTGCTGGTGTGCTTCATCCCGTTCTGCTGAGCTGCATGAGCTAAGATATTGACGGTCACAGTTCGCAACAGCGTCCCGGATATTGTCGCCGAGAAACTTCAGCCATATGACTATATTGTCCTTTGTACCAAGAGCATACCCGATGTTGGACCCACCTTAGTCGACTTGGTCAAGCCTGCCCTGCCGAAGGACAACACGCAGACCACGCTGGTCCTGCTCCAGAACGGCCTGAACATCGAGAAAACCTTCCTGGCGACTCATCCCGACACTGTCGTACTCTCCTGCGTCTCTCTCATCGGTAGCGCCGAACGATCACCTGGCCGCATTGTTCAGAATGAACCAGATCGACTTTTTGTCGGTGCCTTTCCACATCCATCCATCCCCAACGAAAAAGCAACCGCCAAAGCACAGGAGTTCGTGGCCCTGTACTCCGCTGGTGGCAAGACGGATTGCAAGCACTCACCCAATGTTTTGCACGATCGCTGGCAAAAGCTGGTCTACAATGCCTGCCTTAACCCAATCTGTGCAATCACGGGCGTAGACTCCGGCCGCATAAGACTCGCAGACGGAGCGTTAGACGGCCTCGTTCGACCGGCAATGGAGGAGATCGTCGCCGCCGCGAAAGCCGTCGCAAATGTCGACCTAGAGGAAAACGTCGTTGAAAAAGTCATCAACACGGATCCGCTGGAAAGCTGGGCGAAGCCGAGCATGCAGCAGGATCTTGAGGAGGTTTGTCAGATGGGTCGGAGTCCTCCTTGGTAATGACTGACATGTACCAGGGCAATTTTATCGAATTTGAGAATCTCCTCGGCGAGCCACTGCGCGAGGGCAAATTTGCTGGCGTACCGATGCCCACCCTTGAGGTCCTGTACCAGATCGCCAAGACTATACAATGGCGCACGCAAGTCGCAAAGGGCTTGATAAAGTTACCCGGTCAGTGATAATTGGCTGCTGCAAACGATGGGATGATCACAATTTTTGAAAGCATGAAGTGAAATGAATAAAGTCTGTGTTCAGCATTGGCCTGCAAGGTGCAGAGAGCCAAGGACCCAAAGTCAAGAATAGCAACTACTCCATGCAGACGAGCGGCTACTCATTCAAGCTAGTTCCGGACTACTCCCAGTTACTTGGATTAAGAGCTACCCCGTGCATCACATACCTCATCGCTCAGGTCGCACAAGCAAGTCTCGGCGGCATCATTCCATTATCGGGCAATATGTGTCCAAGTACTTAACACCGCGTCTTGTTCCCATTACCTCGCCAGAGCCATCAAGTCACTTGAAACATCCTCCGATATCCGCTTTCAAAACACCATGATGCTATCGACCCTCCTCCTCACCCTCCTCAGCACTCTCGCGCTGGCTGCACCCGAGCCATGCACGACCTCTCAGTCCTATCAAACAACTCCTCTGTCTGAACTTTGCACGTACATCTGTGCCGCAAGTCCAATCGAGGACTGTGGCCGAGGATGGGTTCGTCCCCCTTCTCTCCCGCTCTTGACTCACAACTCAATACTGATGGCTGCAGTACTCCAAGCAACAAGGCTCGTGCTGGGCATGCTGTAAATCGGCTGTCCCGCCTATACCTCTGCCATCGCCGCCGAAGCCTGAGCGCTGTACGCGAGTTTGCGCTCCCGAGGCTATTCAAGACTGTCCGCAGGATTGGGTAAGTCGATCGGACTACTCTGGGGAGACGAGCTAATAAGCGTAGTACTCGAAGCAAAATGGTGGATGCTGGTCTTGCTGCTCAGCCATTTCACCTGTTCCACCACCGTCCCCCAAACCTGAGCGTTGTGCGAGGGTTTGTGCTGCTGCGGAGATACAGGATTGCGCGGAGGGATGGGTATGTTAACGCGCGTTATTTCGATCGAATGGAGGTGCTGACAGCTTGTAGTACAGTAAGCAGCAGGGTGGTTGTTGGTCTTGCTGCCAGAGCGAGTGAGGAGATTGAGGATCAGATATATTCGGGAGGACTTCGTATGGTTTTCGACTAAGAGATTCAGGACAAGACGAGAGAGCGTGCTTACAATAATACGCCATTGCACGATGTCTTGGAAGCTAGTAGCATGCGACTGCTTAACAACATGAGCATGAACACCGGTCAACTTGGAATTCATGGTTCCTTCTGGACAATAATCTTCACACTGTTTGCGAAGACATGGTTAAACATTACAAATCTGTTTGTGTCAGATACTTACGTCGTAACAACGCCAAAATCAAGCGATACTCTCTGCGGCGCTTCAAATCAGCTCAGTACTCACAAAGCCGTACCCGTAAACAGTCTACCATCACAATCCCACATATCATCCATTACCGCTCCGACCGGAACATCGGTCAATACTAATGCCTCCCCGGTATAACCTTGACTCCCGGTAAGCAAGAGCAAAAGGCACAGTTGTAGCCGGGCATCCGTCGTATGGCTCAAATGGCAAGGACTCCAGCCAGTCTACTGGTACGTGTGGGGTATCTTTGGGAGGGAAGAGGGTGGAGATCCAGAGCTTTGGCCTGACTGCGTGGAGCTGCAGACCTATCGCGTCCAGCAAGTAATGGAAAGGTTGGGGTCGGGGTGCTATGGGAAGTGAGACAGACACAGTTTCCTACGCTTCGTACGGAAGATGTTACAGTGGGAATCGGAGAAGCGCAGCTTTGCCAGGCAACTAGCGGAGGATGAATGGATGCTCAAACACACTACGTGAAGACGGCTAAGATACTAGGGACTCGGCGCGTTGGATGTGGTTGTCAAAACGGCAGGTTTGCTAGAGTGCACATTTGCCTTCCCGTCTATTTGCTGAGCCCTAGGAACATGTGCTCACAAACCCTGGATCGATCGCAACAGGCTTTCTGACACTGTCGACAGCACCCCGAGAGCGACGGAGCCACAGAAGTGCGCTCCGACGTCCCGCACGTCCTGTTCCATTTCAGGACGGCCGAAGAAAGAAACAATTCAGACATGGCCTTAACTTGCTAGAAGGCGTGATAATCATGAACGGGAACCGTAGCCTCAACCTAATACCACGAGCCAAACAGTAGGTTGGGCAAGAGATCTTGTTTTCAATGTCCTATAGTCATATGTAAACCAAAAAAGGGCACGCTCACGCAATATAACGTCCAAGCTTAATGAGGATACTGTCAGAGAAACTTGCAAGCGTAGTCCTGTAGCAGATTCGGAACAGCGTACATCAGCGTTGTGTCATTGTGCGAAGATCATAGATGGGTTAGGCGCGCGAGCGATGCAAAAAATGACAAAAACATACAACAGCGGGTATTCGCTAGTGGTCACCCACCTAACTACTAATCCGCCGGTACGTTGCTTAAATAGGGCTGAGCGAACGGGAAGCCTTGTTTTCAACGTCCTATGGTCGTATGTGAAAGGTATTGTAACACTAAGGCAATATATTGTCATTATCTGTAGAAGCCTTTCCCAGATAAGCGTGCAAGTGTAATTCTGAGATTGTCTTGGAACAACGCAGACCATCACGTCGAAGGCCTTGCACTCTTCGCTCCCTCTTGATTATCATGGCTTTGGGTCTGCTCCCCGACGCACGTAGTGTGAATGTAGACCTCTTCTAGAGGACCTGCAGTCTCCCCGACACGGGAAACCATGCGGGTTGGAACTCAGTTGTAGAACGTCGCCGTCACTAACTTGTGGTTGTGTCAACACAGGGTATCTTCTTTCTTTTGGCCATCTCTTCGACTGCTTTCGTGGGCGACTGTCGTACCGCTTTCACGCGTGTGGATCGCCTGCGGACCTTCGTGATGTGAGGAAGAAGCGTGCAGATATCTTTCCTAGCCCGACACCCTCGCTCGCCTAACGAGCCGTCTAACCCGAGTAGCCGGGATATGTGCTGACGGCGTTCGGACTCGAGGCCTCGTTTGCGCTTGCGTGCACTGACGGAGCTCCTGAGTCTTCCCAGTGGTCATTGACTTTGTCGAATCCAGACAGACTGCCGACCCTTACGTTCATACCTGAAGGCTCCAGCTCCTTCATAGGTACTTCTTTGCAGCCGCCACAACTTTCTGCCTGAACACCGGGCTCTTGACCACATCTCCATTGCCCACATGGAAAAACGGGCTCATGATAGTCTTCATCCACGCCTCGTACACATCGACAAAGAAGTTCTTGACAGCCTCTTCCGTTGCCGGACTCGTCGGATTGTACAGTCCTTGCCCACCACCCAGCGCCGCCCTGCCGCCCGCGAGACTCCCTCTCGCACCACCTCCGCTCCCCGTCAACCCCAGACTCTCATCGCGCGGCCGCGTGAGTAGCAGGAACCGTGTGTTTGCTCCTGTGATCCAGCACGAAATGTAGCAGTTCTGGTACTTGTCGATGTGCTTGAGGTACATTGGGGCGCTGCCTGAGGATGTCGAGGGACCCCATTGCACTTCTTCGACGATGTCGAGCGCGGAGTGAAGGATGAAGGGGACTAGTGCACGTTCGGAGGGCGTGAAGCGTGCGACGCCGTCGCCTCCTGAGCGGGAGGTGCCGAAGTCGTGGGTGAAGAGGGGGACGTCGAGCGGGGAGAGGATGGAGAAGGTGTAGGACATGGTGGCGTGGGTTTGATGTAGTCGATTGCTATGAGCACGAGAGTGATCCCCCAGCCTGGTCTGCCTACTTCTGGTAGTCTAGAAGTATAATGACACTAGTTGTAGTGCTGCAGTCGCATTACCATGAGCACCTGCGCTAGCAGGGATGCGCGCCAAGCAAGTCCGCGGGAGTCCTTCGCATCTTCGATTGCTCGTCGACTCGCATCACGAGCACGCACCTCCACAATGTTCGGCCCCTTCCGTCTCACAAACCCGCTCTCCGGTGGTCTGCTCTGGTGCGTATTCCCTTCCGTCCTCGAATTGGCCGTATCCAGCCTGTCAGGCCCGTGGCGGCGATGAAGTGGTAGCTAACGTTCCTCAAGGAAAATCCCCTGGCGCCTGTCCCGCCACCAGAAGTACAGACAGCGCGAGCGCCTCCGAAATGTAGACGGCATTGTCGCGACTCTCGACAATGCGCTGGCACGGACAGGATTGAGCATGAAGAAGGTGGACCGCTGGAAGATGGAGATGCCGACCGAGGCGGAGATGCTGCCCAAGGACAAATACACAGTGTTCGACAGGAAGGTGAAGAGATACAGGAAGGGAATCCACAGTAAGTTGGCCTCAACTCGATAGTTATGCAGTGGTTATGGTCGCGGAGGTCATGAAATATAGAGACCGGATCGGGCCACAAACGGGAAACGCCGGAAAACTCAAGCAACGCAAACAATTGCTGACAATCTGCAGAAGTACCGAAGTGGACAAGAGTCAGCCAGAGACTGAACCCTCCTGGTTTTTGAATAGAGAACGATGGTTTTGTGTACACCACATGTTTCTCTACGGTCTGCATCGGACAAGGCGCTTTGGAATCGAAGACATACCCAATTCGACATCTGCTTGCAAAGGCTACGAACTCTCATCGTCTTAGTTATGGGGATATCTTGCATTGTAATGTGTTACGGTCCGGGCAGATGCGTTTGTGTTGCGCACCTGGAGGATGGTTGCACGGGCGCCGTTTGCTCAGACCGCCCGGCACCGCTACTTGATGTTTGGACTTTGAGGTAGTCTTCTCTCACTCGTGCATAAGGGTCGCGAATCCCCACCGGGTTCTGCCTTCACCTGTGGTCGTGAGGACCGTGCTCTCACCTTCACCATGACTTGACCTCTTCTAATGCCTAGGCACACCTCTTCTACTCTTCTTTCACCTGGGCACACCTCTTCTATCACCTAGGCACACTGCTTCTGCTACCTAGGCACCGCTTCTAAAGCCACTGCGCTACCCTCTTTGATCCCAGAATCACTTCTTTGCTTCTAAACAAAACGCCGTTATACCTTCTTCCACACTCGACAGCATGAGCAAACCTCAACAGGCTGGTCCCGAGTGGATCACGATGCGCGCGCAGCATCAAAAAGAGTGTACGGCGTTTTCATACCAGGTTGATTCGGACAGGCAGGCCTTATACGCCGCCAAGAGGTAGAAAGGACACTCCACACGTGAAGGCAAGGCCGACAAAGGACATCGAAACCATCAATCTCTGCACTAGCGGCGACGACACACTCGTCGAGATGAGCAAGGCCGACTTCCAGAAGAAGACTGCACGGGCTGTTGCCCCTGCGCCATTCCGCCCAAACACTCCTACTGCGACACTACAATTGTTTGGTGAGACGACCCAGAAGTTCTTCGTGAGTTTCCGCTGTTCTTCTCAATTTAGGATCTCTACTGACTACAGAAGTCAAATACAACATCAATGCCTATTAAGCAGGAGAAGCCTTCGGTTACTCAGCCTACGCAGGGTCATGTCCAGCCGCACCTTCCAGATCCAAATGATGGGCTCGTCAGGAAGCATAGCGGCAGTGATATCGATATTGAAGACGTACCACTGGGTAAGTATCAAACAGCACTAGAACCGCATTTGTGTATTAATTGATTGATTTGATGTCACCTCTTATAAATGTCCAGGCAGTGTTGAAGGACCTAGGTGCGACAACCTCCGGAACCGTCAGCATGGATGTGAACTCGGCGGCACTCGATCTCGGGAGGCGCTCGACGAGTAAGAATAATATGCGAAAGACACATCTCCCAAGCCCATCGCCATCGCTCGCGTCTGCGCCTCTTACACCCACAGTCAATGAGACAGCATCACTGCTTAACAAATTTAAGAAGCCACATACTCCTGCTGCCTCAAGAGAAACCTCCAACGTCCGGAGTCAGTCGCGAGGCTCAAGCTGCTCATTCACCACAGCCCCAGACAGGGCCGCATCCCTTTATCGACAATCGTCTGCGGTTTGGCAGAGATCCAGTGTCTCTGCGACGAGCAGGAAAAGGAAGCAAAACAACATGCGCGACGACGAGCTGTCTGACTACACACCACCATCGTTATCCTCAACAACCGCGCGAAAGAAGCCCGCCACATTGCTCGACTAGCCTCTCAAGCGGCCATTGGAACCAAAAGGCCCACCCCCACCATTTTCGTCACTCATTTCTCCCACGGGCAAGAAAACGAACGGTTTTGGTCTCCGCACAAAGAGCACAGCAACATCTCCTTACGAACCCTCCACACCACCTTGTCCATTGATAAAGCGAACGAATCTCACAACGCCCGTCACGCCCACTTGTTCCACTCTCGGTGCTCAAGAGATAGCCCTCGCAAACCCGCCGTCAAGTGGGAAGGCAGCAGTCCGCGCGCAGTCCAACGCCCAGAAGATCATCGAGACCGACGAAGCATTCCATACTGAAGACGAAATCTTCCGCTCCAGTGCCCTAGAGCATTTACGCAGAGATGAAAAGAGCACAGCAGAGCTAGGAACGCGATTAAGAAGTATGAGCATCACGCCTGTGCCAACAGGGACGTATTTTAGAAAGGCCACTGTTGCAGACGAGGGCGTGTACACACGGGAGAAGTTCTTGAGTAAGAGGGCGAAGGGAGGAGATAGGCTTGCGAACCGGTCGAGGGATATTGAGAAGTTGACCGGAGAGGACAGTGATGAGGATTATGAAGATTTGGATACAAGTGAGTTCTTCTTCGTTGGCGGTGTGGTTCTAAAGAAAGGGCAGGAGGGAAGGCTGACGAACTTGTAGATTGAAACCACTGGAGAAGAAGATGTGGGTTGGGCGATGCAGTAGCGTGTGCAGTAGGTAGGTCCAGCATCATGGCCATCAAGAGCGAATCTAAGACATGGACACGGGGGTGACCTTTGTCAATTGGATGGAATTTTCTGGGAAGATATAGCACCAAGATCTTATGCTACCAGGGCACGAGATAGAATTCGGTTGCTTGCCCGAGCCCACTACTAATTTCAGCATGTTGATATTGCGATGCTTGAACAACGAACAATTTCACAATCCGCACCTCATCATTCTACCACTCTCGAACCTCACCTCCCGGCCCAATAAACCCAGGCGAGATCCACGCCACCGCATCCTTACTCAACCTCCTAACCTGCTCTTCATCGATCTCAATCCCCAGCCCCGGGCCACCCATCAATTTGATATACCCATCCTGCACATCCCACACCTCCGGGTTCTTCGTATAGCTTGTCAAATCTTGACTGCCATTCTGCACATTATAATGGATGCCCAGACTCATCTCCTGAATCACAAAATTGCTCACCGTCGCATCGACCTGCACACACGCCGCGAGCGCAACCGGTCCCAGCGGACAGTGCGGCGCAAGTGCAACATCATACGTCTCGGCCATATTCGCAATGCGCTTCATCTCGCTGATGCCCCCAACGTGACTGATATCCGGCTGCAGGATATCCACACAGCCCTGCTCCAGAAATGGTCGCACATCCCATCGGCTGTGCAGTCGCTCACCCAGCGCAATCGGACACGTCGTCAGCTCGCTCAGCTGCTTGATCCCGCCGATATGTTCGCTCAGCAAAGGCTCCTCGATGAATAAGGGCTGGTGTGGCTCCAACGCGCGCGCGAGCTGCTTCGCCATCGGCCGGTGCACGCGCCCGTGGAAATCCATGCCCGCGTCCATACCTAGCGCTTTGACGGTTTTGAGCCGCTCGACGGCGGCATCTAGAGCCCGCGGGGAATCGAGCCAGTGCATGTCCTCTGTGGCGTTCATTTTCACAGCTGTGAAGCCCTGGTCCTTACGCGCTAGTCTGTGACGCAGTGTCGAATATTAGTCTTTGGTGGGTTACGGTAAAGGGACGGGATTTTTGGAATTCTTTGGAGACTTGGCCGGACGTACGCTTGCGCTTTCACGTCGTCTGGTCGGTCGCCGCCAATCCACGCATACACTTTGAGCTTGTCTCGTACTTTCCCGCCGAGAAGCTGGTAGATCGGGACATTGAGCTTCCGCGCTTTCAGATCCCAGAGTGCGATGTCGATGCCTGCCAGTGCGCTCATGAACACGGGACCGCCGCGGTAGAAGGATGTGCGCCATGACATCTGCCAGATGTGCTCGATCTCACTGTCGGTGTTTGTTAGAGTGGATGGGCGTGGATGGGAATTTTGTTTACTCTGCTTCGAAGTCGGTGTACCGCTTGCCCCAGGCGTCAAGACAGCCTTCGACGGCTTCGGTATGGCCTTCCAGAGAGGCTTCGCCCCAACCGAAGTTGCCGTCTACATCAGTGATCTTGACGAAGAGCCAGCGGGGAGGGACGCGGAAGTATTCGATGCTTGCTATTTTGCCCATGATTGTATCGTGTGTCTTGCTGAGAGTACTGGAGGTGTAGGCTTAGTTTATGTATCAGCGTAGGTTCACTTGATCTGTCAGTACAAGTTCGTTCCAAGCAATTGCAAGTCGTATTCAAATGCCGCGGCGACTAGCCTACCAGCGGAAGCTCCAGCTCTCCACATCTCCATCTGAACGAGCGAATCGAGCCTTTCCATTGCAGTTGAGCTGAATGCGACGTCGGCGCGGGGCCCGAGGTACGCGGGGTCGTCAGCGGTCCACTCTTGGCCTCTGGAACTTCGGTGTCTGGGACAAAGGGGCCCGAATGCTCGACCAGCGGCACTACAATAAAAGTCGTGCTGCGCCCAGCGCCCCTCTTGCACATGAGCAAGATTTTCGTTGCGTTTTGAGAAGCCAGGACAAAGCTGATCTGACCGTCGTCGATACACACATTACGAAGTACGCACGAGCCACACAATGACCTCAATCAGTTCCCCGCCAAACGGCGTCTTCGTCCCCGTCCCGACCTTCTTCAAGACCGCCGCCGACTCTTCGTCGCTGCAGGCCGCGGTCGACGTGCAGACACAGACCGAGCATAGCGTATTCTTGGCCAAGAATGGCGTTCGCGGACTTGTCCTGCTCGGCTCTACCGGCGAGGCCATTCACATGAACCGTCAGGAGCGCATCGAGCTGATCTCAGGCGTGCGCAAGGGACTGACCGATGCCGGATTCCCTGACTATCCGATCATGGCTGGCACCCTGATTAACAGCGTAGACGAGACACTGGAGCAGCTCGAGGACTATAAGAAGGCGGGCGCGCAGTGGGGCCTCGTGCTTGCACCAGGATACTTTGGCGCAGCAGCGAGCCAGGAGGGTATCAGGGAGTGGTACACGGTTGTGGCTGATAAATCGCCGCTCCCAATCCTCATGTAAGCCTCAATTCACAAGGAACAGAAGAGGATTCGAAACTGACTGCGTAGCTACAACTACCCCGGCGTGACAAACGGCGTAATGGTCACCCCGGAGACATACCGCATCCTCGCGCAGCACCCCAACATCGTCGGCTGCAAGATGTCGCATGCCGTCGTTTCTTGGCACAACCAAGTCTCGCTCGACCCCAAAATCGACCACGCCAAATTCAAAGTCTACTCCGGGCTGGGCCAGCAACTGGGCCCCATTGTGTTCTTCGACGCGGCCGGCGTCATCGACGGTCTCGCAGCCATCTACCCCAAGACAGTGTGCTCTTTGTACAAGCTCGCCGAGACACGGCCGATTAGCGATGAGAACCTGGAGAAAATCAAGAAGCTGCAGTACACGGTGAGCACGACGGAGGAGTATATTGGCAAGTACGGCATTGTGGGCATCAAGGAGGCGGTCAAGCGCGTCACTGGGTTTGGAACGCTGGAGGGCGGACGGCTGCCGATCAAGGGGAAGTTGCCTGACGGCGAGTGGGAGAAGTGGAGCGAGACTTGGGAGAGGATACAGAAGTCTGAGAATGAGCTGTCAGAAAAGGACTTCAAGTAGACTTGTGAGTTGCAGAATTGGAATCGTAAAACCGCGTCAATTGGAGCGACAAAAGCAAACAGTCATCGATTGTGGTAAGGAAGATCTGGAGACAGTCTGTGCATTTGCTACATTGTACTCTTGCTCCGTTGACTTGGACACTAACAAGTGAGAGACTCTAAAGCTCGCCATACCGGTCAAAGTTTCCTGACGAACGAAAGGAGAGCATCTCGCTTCTGTGGCCTCACGCAATTACCCCGCACTTCACCACCACCTTACAAGATAATCTTAGAGTGGTCCTTAGTGGTCTCGTGCATACTCAGAAGAAGGCGCAATGCTGAGTCTCATTAACTTTCGTAACATCAAACGAACCGTTTTCTATATCAAACTCACAGCTCATCATCCATCTCAATATGGCGCCCCTCGATGATACCATCCCGGAGACACACTTCGACGGTTTCAACATCCACCGCACATCCTACAAGAAAGTCAGTGAACAAGACATCGACGTAGGCGTTCTGATCCCCAAAGACCTCAAGCCTGGAAACACCCAATCCTCGTCAAGTTACAAGGCGGCGTTCTGGTAAGATAAGTGTCCAACTTTTAAACAATACTCCTTCGTGAGAGGTTATCATCGTGACATAGGACTAACGACAAAGGTAACGGGCGACTGCATCTGCAGAGACCGTGCACGCGAACGCCATAACACACTAATATCCTCAACACCATAACTTCACAACGACATGGATTTAGAAGCTGCGCTTGAAGCCTGTGACGCAGCAGATGTCGCTGGTGAAATTTCGTACATAAAATTGCTGACCAAAGCTTAGTGTCGCGATCCACCCTGTCGCAGCGGCACCGAGGCGTATGCGCGTCGCGTGAAGATGGGAACTCCACGCGCCAAGAGCTCAGCCCACAACAAGAGTATGAGCTTTGCAGCTGTATATAAGGGCTTACTAAGCAAGGGCTACCGCCTTCAAGGCAAATAGTGCAAAATTTCGCGTCTGAAATAGCCTAAGAGTACGTTAGGGATAGCTAGGTTACCAGGTTCCTGCACTGTTACCCTGAGAAGCTCAAATACAACAGAGCTCCGCCATAGACGCCTCACGTCACAACGCTAGCAACAGCGAAAAGTACTTATACTTTTCAACCTACTACGTTCTAAGATCAACAAATATTCTATTAAGCTGCAGCACACGTACAATATAGATAAGAAGGGCTTGGCAATTAGATTAGTAAACAGGAGCAAAAGTGTAACAGAGTAGGCGCCCTGCCCTCGAAATCAATATTACGTGACTTCTCTGCTTATACCAAAAGGTAAGCACAAGAACACTTAAGCAAGTATTCGTTGCGTAGTATAATATATATAGACAATAATAGTGCTAGCCAGCTAGCTTTGCCTCTGGCTGCTATAAGCGCTATGCCACGTGTCGTGTTCGTGCATAGTCGTTACAAAAAGGGTGTTTAGTAAGGCAGCTTAGAAGGCTAGAGCTAAACGCCAAAGCTTGCAAGATAGCAATAGAGAGTGGGTATTAATTCTTGCAACTATCTACGCTAATAGCTTAGTGTTGTTACCTAGGGTTATCTTTACTAGCGCGCTAAATACCCTACAACAGTCCTACATTGGGAAAAGTTTTTGACATCCGACCTGGACTGGCCGTTGCTGACAGTCGTGGCATGGTCGTGCAACGGCCGTTCAACGGCCCCAATTTTGCGCCAACGTTGCCAACGGCCAAAACGCTGAGTGCCCATATTCAACGAACTCGCAATGGTTGGAGAAGTCTTACCATTGCAGCCACGTCGAAAGAGCGACTGTTATCAGAGTCCATCCTACACTGGCTCTCGACACAGAGCCTGCGCCCAGCGCACCGCTCTGATTCCCACTTGAGGTCGCACTTGGAGTCACACTTGATCCACCGGATCCACCAGTCTGGCCACTACTACTATCTGTGTCTCCAATCTCCAATTGACCTGAACCACCGAATGACTGTGCATCCGGGTTCCTCACGCTTGCCACTAACTCACCCTCCCCCAACACGCTATTCTCCAACATTCCACACTCCATCCTGCCACCGTTCTCACTCAATGGCCCCGGCCTCGGATCCGTAAGCAACTGCTGTGCACTGGGGAACTGCTCAATCGTGTTCGTGACACTAATCGGCAGGTTGAAAATCGTATAGAAGTCGCTGCCATTTAGCCGGAAAGACTGGTGAATCGAGATATTATACACTCCCCTCGCTGAACCCCGCGTGTTTTTGCCGTCGCCGACAAGACACAACGGCCACTCGAAGTTCACATGTTTGACCGTCGAACCTTCCTCTTGCTCGAGGATATTGGATAACGGTGGCATATTACTCGTCCCATTCGAGATCGTGAAGTTTTTATTGAGGGTAGTGCTGGTAAGGAAGAGCGTGATGTTGTGGAGACGTGTTGTGGCGCTGGGGTTAGAAGATGGCGGGAAGGGTAGCGCGCCGTCACCGGAGATGTCGAGTGCGACGTGCAGAAAGTCACCGCCCATAGGGGTATTTGGCTGCGGCGAGTCAAGGATGGCGAGGCCGGGGGTGAAGATGCGGCCGTTAATTGTAGAGATGCCGGTTGAGCTTTGATTGCCATTATTGCTGTATTGACCGATCATTTGCGCTGCGGCTAGGTGCGATAGAAGACATAGTGAAGCGAGTGGTCTCATGGTGTGAGGTGCTACTCTGCGAGCGTGCGCTGAGGAAGAGTGGAAGGGATGACGAAAATATTGGGAAGAAATCGGACACATACAGACGGAGGTGAGCCCATGTTACAGGGGATGCAGCCATCACGGCATCAAATCAAACCCTGCCGCATATCCGGTATCGATCGCAGCGGCATCGATAGAACGGAAGAGGCCTGAATATATTGCATGATCTTATCGTCTGCGTTCCGTCAATATTCATGCTTCGATACTTTACTACTGTGTAGGTAATTGTGTTCCTGAGACATGTGGTGTCTGAGGCACGATACCTCGAGGCTACTGGTTTGGAAGGGCAGATTAGCCGTTATCGTCTTGGCTAGCGTGGACTGGTGAGCTAAACTGCTTCCGGTCAGATCTATCCGTCATCAGTGACACCACAAACCTGGAATGGTGGATAGAAGCCAATCAGATTCATTCATTGCTATTGATACACCATGCACCCACAAGTGCAGTTTCGTTTAGCTTTAAGCACTATGGAAGAGAACAGTAACATCCCCAAACCACGATCACAACCGCTTCGACAAGTTCCACATGCTAGGTGGACTGAACTTATCTCTTGTCACCGTCATCGGCATCAGGGACAAGATTCAACAAGCTCGAGAGAGGAGGAAGCTTGACGCCATTAAGGAGGGGTAAGTAGGCCCCGGGGTAAGGAACAACGTGGTCTCCAATGTGCAGACCGTCAGCGAACAGACCCGAGAAGGTCCTGTCGGGCAGGAGACCGGAGAGAACTCCCTGTCTAGGGAAGAGGAAGTTCTTTTCAACCTGGACGGCACCGTTATTATAGAAGGACCAATTATAGGCCTTGTCCACAATCGTACCACTTTGGATGATCTTAGGAACTTTGGGGTTGGTGACAGCACCCAGAAGGCCGGTCGGCGCAGGTGTGGCTGGGACGGCGCTGGTGACGCCTCCGAGAAGGCCGGTGGGGTTCGTCAGTCCGCCAAGGAGACCACCGACACCTGGGATGCCGCCGAGAAGGCCACCAGCGGCGGCTGTTGGGACAGCGTTCGTAAGACCGCCTAGTGCGCCGGTTGGGAGTACGTTGGTGAGACCGCCAAGCGCGCCGGTTGGGGGCGCATTGGTGACGGTGCCGGGGGCATTGGTGGGTAGAGCACTACCGAGGATAGGCAAGTTACCCAAAATACCAGTAGGAAGCGCGTTCGTGAGACCACCGAGCGCGTTCGTAGGGAGGCCACCGCCAAGGATATCACCCACAACAGGAACGCCACCAATAGCACCAGTAGGCAGTCCACCATTGAGGAGGTCGCCTACAACAGGCACGTTGCCGAGAGCACCAGTAGGCAGTCCACCATTGAGGATGTCCCCTACAACAGGCACGTTGCCAAGAGCACCAGTAGGCAGTCCACCATTGAGGAGGTCACCTACAACAGGTACATTGCCGAGAGCGCCGGTAGGCAG